AATAAAAAGGATGTTAACAAATTGATAGTGTTAAGGATGTAGTAAGGTGAAATTGAAAAAATCTACAATTTAAAATTGATACTATAAGTCAGAAGACCATTTATCAAGGAACACAATAAGCTAAAATATTGATAGGTTATGGAACTTCTTGTTAAGGTTGGATTTTTTTTAAATGGCGGGAAAAGGCGGACTCGGACTTTTATCTTATATTTAGCATTGGCATCGCTTGGGTCTCAAATCGTAAGAGAAAAATCTAGAATCTGCTTAAATATTGGTAATTAATTTTTTTTATGAGCCATTGAAGTCTTCTATGAGAAGAAAAGTGGGTGATATGGGGCAAAATATTTTACCCTGTATCGTAGGAAAAAACCCAAGGTGTCCAAACATTTGACACAAATTCCTAACCCTGACCCGAGTACATCCTTAAGTAACTGAAGTCTTGTGATCAGATTAACTATCCAGGAGGAAATTCAACAAAAAATGTTATACACATTCAATCTGACTCTGAATTTGAGAGCAAAAATACAATTCTAGTGATGGAGTAACCCGAATAATGTCAGTCGTTATATTCCGCCGATCTCCGTCTAATCTCCGATTGCTACATTAGCCTCGATGGGCTATAGGCGTCTAGAGGGCGCAGAATTATTCGAGTTAGTGATGGAGTTGAGACTGAAGATTATGAATGTCCATAATATTTAGATATGCAAAGTCACATGGTACAAATGTACAAAAGAACAAACATTCATAGTACATGCATGTTGTTTTTTTTTATTGAAAGACTGTTCCAATTGTTAATACTTACTCCATTGGTTAATCAACAATTCAAAAACAAAATTAACATAGAGACCTAATGGGTAACTTTTTTAATTATAGACCCAACATTATAAAATTGATAGTTCGTATATATCATATAATTATAAACATAAATCAAGGAAATAATGCTGATTTAAAAAAAAAACTGCAAATGTATGGAAATCAAAATCAAATGTACTATATCATATGACTTTAAATTATTCTAGACAAATCTCTTAGTGCTTTTAACTAGTTCCCCTACTACAATTAGAGAACTTATTTTTAACTTTTGTAATAAGATACATATATAAAAGTGAAAAGGATTTTCTACAAATATACACTTATACTCAGTATACAATAAGGAAAACAACAAACGATCACACAAATACTTGATAAGGACTACACGTATTCATTTTGCAATTTATAGATATGTAAAACAGAGAATGGAAATGGGGAATATGTCAAAGAGACAACAACCCGGCCAAAGAACAGACAACAGCCGAAGGTAACCAATTGGTCTTCAACGCAGCGAAAAAATCCCGCACCCGGATGTGGTCCTCAGCTGGCCCCTAAATAACGGGTTACAGATTATGTTTTTAAGAAATTGTCATCACAAATAAGAACAAAAAATATGTAACAGTATATTATGTGTATATATCCAAGAGTTCACATCAATGTACTAACTAGTTCACAGTAAAATCTCAATAATTCAGTTGATCTGAATTGAAAAGATTTCTTTAGTTTGCTTAAACATAACTTTCTGGATGCATCTTGGCGTCTATGATATAACAGACAATGTCGATTTAAAAATTTTTTCTCTTGCAATTTTATTTCGTTTTAAGTATTCCGTAGGTATGCTAGTAGCCAATACATAGCTCTTCCTAATTGGCATATGAACTTTCATTTGTTGAAACCATCGATACGTAACAATTTCTAGACTATAAATACATATGATTAAAAAATGACACAAATAACAATTTAAGATTCATATAAATAGTGTATGTTATACATTTAAACGAAAAAGAATCAAAACGACGAAAAGAAAAGATAGAAAAAAGTTCCGGAAAACTAAGGATTCCCTGTTAACCCTACCCGAATTAAACGAGAAAATATATTCATGTTCCTGTTTAGTAAGAAGAACTGTGAAAAAAGGTCCATTCCGTACAGAATATTCTTTATATAAGGTTTGAATCATTGGCAAAATTTTGTAGGTTTTTACAGATGTAGAAACTAATCGGTCTTTTCATCTCAACCTATACATAAAGTCCTTGAATCAGTGAAGTTGAGACATTAATTTTCTATTAACATTACTACATGTAAGTCATATTAGATTCTGATAACAAAGAAAGATAGAGGAACAAAACATATACTAACTGACTACATATTACAAACAATCAATATTATATTGATAATGTTATGCTAGATTATACATATCTTAGAAGAAAATTAAAAAAGAAACAACAATGAAATAACAATGAAATAACAAAAAAATAATTAAATTGGAAGTTACCTAATGTTATATGTTTCTACAAGATGCGACGGCTGCAAAAAATTTAATCCACTGAATATTCTGGTTGATAACCGCGTAAGATCGAAAATGCTCATACGTACCAGGACGCATACATGCATGATTCATTTGAGCATCAATTGCTGGACCACACTGCTCCAAACAACTTCCCCATGGTTCGCAATTGCCTACGATAGAATTATAAAACTGTTGATTTTGTTCCACTGATAAATCGTAAAACATGTAGCAGCGGTTGTGTGTCAACATCGCTGTATGAAAGGCAACTGCAGTGTACCAACCATTATTTTTACTGATAATCAAATCATATACGTCTGGTGCCATGCAGGGGTCGTTTCTTATGGACATCTGGGCAGCCATGCAATCGTATGTACCGGCACCAAATAAAGGACAATTGTTGATTATTGTGTCGTACCTATTTTGACTGACTTGATTACCAAAATTGAAGAAATCAAATATATTACAACCATCGATGTTTCCTGAGGTTATTTCGCATTGGGAAATTCCTTTGAACGAAATACATCTCCACCCACCGGCAATATTTGCCACTGGGTAGTAATATAATAAACCAAAGCACATTTCGTCAAATGTTGATTGGCCATACAACGTAGTCCCGGAACGAGATGTTGATTTATATGTACATTTAGTGGCGATACTGTCGCCAGGCATTACTTGAATTGGTGAGGAAAACCTAAAAATACAAAATCTTAATTTAGAATATTATGTTACTAGTGATTTTTTTTTCAAATATGAATGTTGGTTCACTATATTTAAATTGCTAATTTGTATTATCTAGAACATGTTGAAAGGGCCGCGATAACTAATAAAACGGTCTTGTACCGTAAAATGCTTACCCTACCGGAGCATCTGACATCACCCTTTGTTTTATACGAGTTTCACGTTTTTATTGATATTAGTGTTTAATACTTGTGTTATCTGTTTTTAATAGTTATTTTCAATTGGCCATATTGTATATACGGTCATCTGAACTTCTCCAATCTGCCCCTGTTCAACATACTCTATTTCCTAGTGGTAGTTCCAACTACCTGTTTCCGTCCTGGTCGACCCACTTAGCAGAACATACCAATTGGCGTATTTTGTTCATTTGATCTCGTCCTGACCATACATAAAATATTTGCTACCGGGCGTTAAGATAACAGCTATCAATCAACAGTTTTCAGTTTATTATTGTTAAGTCACGGTGTTTTCCATGCTGTTTCGATCTGCATGGTAACGTTTTACACATTTCAATCTTTTCTTTTCGATTTTCTCTAGTTTTAAATCAAGATGGTGTACATATAACATCATTAGCAAATTGTTCTCGAAAGTGAATTCAAGAAAATATGGACAGCAGCTTGACAACAAAAATAACCAAAAGACATCTAGTCTAGAGATCAACATACTTTCTTCAGCAATAGACAGTCATAGCTGTCTATGAATTATGTAAAGCTTTAAATTGTCTCCAGTCTAAAATGTTTTAATAAATACTGAAAAGACACTCATAGCCAGAAATTAGTAGTACTTTTGCTAATTAATATTCATAATATGTAAATGAGAATTGTACCACGTGATAATAGTTTGAACTGGACTGGCTTGATACCATTCAAATCTTTAAAATACGGATATTATAAGTTGCCCGTCACAGAGTCCTTGTTTATAATCACTCTGATATTTCCGTAAAGTTGTCAGGCGGTCAAAATCAAAACAATGAACGCGAATTTAGTGAATTTTTTGTGTTTTCGTGAGTTTATTCTTCTTGAAATAGGGGCATTTTAACTTTACGTGGGAACCTAGAGTTCAACGACTACACATACAAGATTTGGACTTGCTTATTCTTTGGACATTCAAGTTTCAAGTTTCATCCCCGCAACCTGTTTTTGTAATGACCTTGTTAGCCAATTTTCAACATGAAGTTTGCAAATTTGACGTTTCAGCCATTTTAGCCTGTATTTTATACTGCAATGTTAAAAGCCTCTCGCTTCGATTTTTAAAATAGCTCAGGAACCTTGATTTTTGCAACGACAGTCATTATGTTTCGTTTAAATGGTGTATATTGTTGTGTATATTAATTTTCTGTCCCCGCAACCTGTCTATCACTTAAATTAAAGTTAAAACAGACATTTTTTTTTTAAATTCCCTATCATTTCAATATAATTTCCGTGACCCGTATCCGATTTCTTTAGTATAATATTCAAATAAGTAAAGTGGCGTTGATTTCTGGATATGTACCAAAGATCTATCACCCACACCAAAAAACACATTGATAAGATATTAGACCCACTGACAATTTTTTTTTTCAAGCAATTGTATAGAATTAAGGAGATATGGTATGAGTGACAATGAGACAACTATCCACCAGAGACCAAAGGACGTGGGTGTAAGCATCTATAGGTAACCGTACGCATGGTATGACCTTCAAACAAGAGCAAAACCCATAGTATATTGTAAGCTATGAAAGAAAATGTACATATCTTTTAAGATATCAATCCTCTTTCTTTTAATTTGACAAAAAAGTGAACATACAATAATAATGAATACACGAAAAGTAGTTAGTAATAACTAAAAAAACGACATAAAAGAACTTAAAATCAAGAAAAAGCATGTCTTTTTAGGATTGCATGTATTTTTTTAATTTGTCTTGCAGATATTATATGTAATAAAGTTACCCGGATGAAACGGAAGACTAATTATTAAATACTAACTCGTGAAGTTGAGGAGAGTCATAAACATATAAAGGATCATCTGTTATATCTGCAATCTTTGTCCCGTTCCTGTGTAGTTCTACTTTCATTTCACTGCCTACAAAACAGTGTAAAAAACTAGAATCATAAAAACAAAATTATAATTTATGAATAAAAGGAAATAATGGATATACGTCAATTAGACAGCAACCGTTTGGCTGTGTGGGATGTATTAGTTCGTAGCCATGTCCTGTCAGAATGGGGACATTAAATCCGATGTATCATGTAGAAAGAGTGCCAAGTTCTCTGCACGTTAAGAACCCTTGCAGCAACTCTTTGAGGGGTCTGTAGGTGACCTGTTGCAAAGCTATATTACTGTCCCTAACCAATATACCCTCATTTTTCAGTGGCATTCCAAATTTTTCACCCATCATTACAGTCGAATCCCTATAGCAGGACCTACCTATTGTTTTATTATTTATTTGTTCTTGTCCTGAAGATGCATGAATTATTTGCCACTGGACATAAAGCAATCAACAATCAATCAATCAACCATATCGAACCATGTAAGAAATATACTTTCAATCATTGACGAATGAGGTTATTTATTTTCAAATTACTTACCGGAACAAGAATTGTCTTAAACAGTTTTTTTTTTTTAAATAATTTTATGTAGAATATTATTCGCTTCCCATTTGAAATGAATTATCATCTTTCACGAAAATAATCAAACAATTTATTCATAAAAAAACCAGGACCTTAAAATAACATTAACGGTAACAATTTTTCTGCACCAGATGCACATTTCGACAATTAACGTCTCTTTAGTGATGCTCGAGATTAAAATATTTGCAAATCAAAACCTAATACAAACGTCAAACAGCTGATTAAAACAAAATTGTATGAGATGGTCGATAATATACGGATAAAAACACATTGTAATGTTGCCTAAGATTGGACCAGAATTTCATATTCTATAACCAGCTATCAATTCTACTAGCAAGACCAATACACAAACGGAGAGTTTATATTGATGTCATAAACAATGTATGGTTACCCTCAGGTATTCTGATCCTTTCAGTCAATTTTTGAAGATAAAGATGTAGAATAGCAATAAAGTGATGATCTTTTACTATTTGGTTAATTCTATATAGTGCCTTACAACTGTGATTTTCATCTACTCGCAATAATTTGTTTTCAGAGCATAAACCGGTTGCTGAATTATTGTTAGTTAGTTTCATTAGATCAAACTTTTCTATGATTGGGAAATATTTTAACGAGTAAATCATATCTATGAGTTTTTATTCGGAAACACAAATTCTTTGATTATTTTCAGTCAAGCGAAATGCAACATTGATTTTTGTAGAAAAATTTAATTTACCCAAATAATGCATATGGTTCAAAGCTGAAAACACATGAATATTTCCTGTGAACAGCTGATTTGTACAATCGGCTGGACATTCGCCTTCTTCTTGATGGCTCTCAAGACCCGATGGTATGTTCAGATAGTTCTGACCGGTGATGAAAATTCCAGCGTCATTTGGTCGCAAGTTAGGTGTAAAGTAAAGTTTTATCCCTGATCCGTCAACTAGACTGTTTGAAAGAAGTGGATTTGTCCAGTGCAACTGTAAAAATATACAATTGACATTATATTGTCGGAATACTAGAATATATTTTTGAACTTTAAAATGACAGAATTGCTTTTATTCATGACGACAATCGAAACTTAAATTAGATTGAAAAACAACTTCCATATTCCTGACTTGGTACAGGCATTTCTCAAAGAAAATGTTTGGTTAAACATAGTTTTATATCTAGCTAAACCTCCCACTTCAATGAAAGTTGTTTATATATCCGTTACATTGACAAAATTGGATGAGCAACCCAAACAGACATACATGTAATAGGTCAATGTGAGTGCTAATATATACTTACTTGTATAGCACCTTGGGTATACATGTTTGGTCCAATTCTAATTCCAGCTTCATCCGGCAGACAATGGCCTGAAAATCCCAAAGACCATACACCTAATACAATTTGACACGAACTTGAAGCTCCCATTCCACATTCATGAGGAACACCAACCTCATTGGGGGGTACTGTCTCTAAAACATAAAATTATACTGCGTACTAGTACTTAATGTAAAGTAAAAAATACCACTGAGAAGTAGTATCTGTTCTCGAGCAATTTGGAAAAACTCACTGACACTCCCCTCAGGCAAAAACTATTTCTTATATTTAATGAATGTTAAACACTATCGATGAATAGAAAAAGAAGAAAATTAAATTCCTGATGAAGGTAAATATTAAAAAGCTTTTCGGACGCATACAACTTATTAAGAGTTATATAATTTTTTGCTGCACTGGGTAGATACAGCTGCTGTTGGATTATTAGTCCCTGGGGTATCCTCTGCTCAATAGCTAGTGCTTCTGTACTGACATTATTTATAACATACCCTTCTTAAATCTTTCGTTTACAGATTTAAGAAATTATGAAAAAATTAAGGTTTCAACTCCCTCAGGCAAAGTTCACCTTAGATTGATTTGGCTATTATATTTTTGGTCCCGTTTGGTCATTAAGTTCTTTTCGTGTGTTGGTACTTAGACATTTCTTGGCTCTCAAATATAAGGCTGTAAGCGTTCCTGGAGTTTCTGACGAATGCAAATTCAGAAAAACGCTTTAAGTGCTATTTTTATTTGTTTACACGAAACACTGTACAGAACACTAAAGTTTGAACAACATGAAACTTACAAAATAAATGGAGGTGAAGGGGTGACATGGATATAGAAATACGTTACCAATTGTAAACGTCGATTATTCAAGTCGATGAACCAGAACATCCACGAGCTTAGAGTGCTCTTTATGACTAATTTGCATATAGAGCTAAGCTGTAGATCATTTTAGTGTTGCACTAGACTTGTGACAGACTAAATTACAAGCGAATAGCATTTGCAAATCACATGCAATGCACGGTCATCGAAATGTACGAGTGTTTAATGAAACGGATTTTTTTGCGCTATTTGTGATACCTTTGGTTAACAATTAAACGTAACCTTACGGGAATTTCATGAAACGGCAGCACAGTCAATTGCACTTCTCATCTCCAGCCGTTAAATCAATGTAAGTGTTGTTCATTTGTCTGTGCATGATGTGAAAAACACAGACATGTCTAGTCGGAATGCGGAAAGAAATTCAAAGCCCTTTGTAGCATGAAATAGTATCGTACTCTATACACGTAAAGAAACCCTCACAATCAACAACCGTTTGAGTTTTCTGTAGATGGCCAAATTGTGTAATCTACCCTATTCTTTCCAGTTGCAGTCTAGATCCAATTTTTCTGACCACTAACCCTACTTTACAGAAAATTAAATACTGATATATTGTTTCTGCATGTGCATGAAATACTTGCCACTGGCTGTTAATTCATCATCATCCGAATAATTAATAAATCAGTCGAATACAAGATCAAGACCACAAGAAGAAAACAAACAACAACACATAAATAAAAAGAAGCCGCCACGAAAAACATAACTCATGTTTGAACAATATACACCCTACTGATGATGGGATGGGAAATCAGCTATTCCAAACAGGAAAGCAGTTCCTGCTCTACTTGTGGCACCCGTCGTTTACATGTTGTCATGTGTTTGTAAAGTGTTACAATTACCATTCGTCATAAGTGAATATTGAAACTAATTTGATCGCATCGTGCATAATTCACACTTGTGTATAAAGGATATATACAGGTGTGGAAAATTAACGACAATGTGACAATAAAAAGTTGAAAGCTTTGAAAAAGACATACAAATATAAAAAAAAAAAAAGTGACACCGAAATTGAAAGCCGTGCAATAAAAACTTCAATATAACAACTTGGTGTGACATCGGTTACTATTGTGGCCCTTCTTTACGTAAATAAAACACAAACTAACGACTTTTACAAGTGTTCATAAATATTAGAGTGAAATACATACGCCCAGGCATACACCCCATGATCGTCATATGATGCATCACATTTGCGTTATCTATTACTGGTTCATAAGCAATCTGGTGGAGGTCTTGCCCTTGTGGAAAATCAAATACCATGCACATATATGTTGTTTCCTTAGCTGGTACTGGCGTGGGAGGCAGGGAGTAAGTGTAGCTGATGACACCTGCAAAACAGGATAAAATTAGAGGGAGAAATGGGAATTCCCCAAGAAGTTATGTCAAACATATATCAAACACATTTTATATAAAAAAATATTTACACTCTTTTTTCGCAACTGTTGAATAAAAACCGCATGAATTCGTTTCCGGTTTATGTATCTATTTCAACAAATTTTGACACGTACGATTACGCAGACGACTACGAGGCAAAACGACGAATGTGATCATATGTGACGTTATACTTCAGTGTCCTGAGAAACAATTATGAAATTTTATACATCAACTGAGATATTTGCGCAGTCAACATGCATTGACCGTATAATCCTCGGCTGTGTAAAAATACTAACCGTATTAAGCATTATTTGTGATGTTGATAATGTATTTCCGAAGAGTTTTATCTGAGACGTCGTGAAAGAATGCAGGTTCGCGGAATTCTTCAGTTGTCCGCTCAAAATTCAAAACTGTTTATTTCTACCTTAACAATTTCGTTTGACACAGTTACAAGGGTTGCACCATACGCTGTCTCTTAAATTATATTTTATTTGCGCACGGCGCGCTCGAAATAAGATAGAAATGCTCGACAAATCCGCTCACATTCTATCTGTTTCTATAAGCTTTGTTAAAATAAATTATATGTTTAAAGACAATGTATTACCATTCTAGATTATATGTGCCAGTATCGAGGTACTGGCATGAACATACGGATATTGTTCAATTTAAATTTGCTGTTATAAAATTTCGAAATCATTTAGAATTAAGGAATGTATCTCGCTCATGCATAGCTCTGATTTCTTGCCCGGGTTTGACTTTACTTTTGGTCCCTTTGGGTTTTATCTGATTTTGAACGTTTGGTTTGGGTTTTGGACTTTCAATTAGTTTGCCCTCGAGTATTACTGAAGAGACATTAATTGTCCAAATGCGCATCTGGTGAAATAAAATTGGTACCATTAATGTTATTCCAAGTATTTTCTGATTGTAATAAAATATCCCAATCGTCAAATTTACTTTTTGATGAAATTTATGATTGATTGATTGTTTCTTGCGTAACGTCCAGTGGCAATTATTTCAAGAATGCTCAATACGAGAACAAATTGGCAATTAAACAATTAGTAGGTTCTGTAAGGAGGGACAACGGGGAAGAAAGGCGGAAATTTTTAAAAGCTACTGGAAAATATTTTTTGAATATATTGGATTTTAAATTTGCCTGAATATACGCGTGTACATGTATACTGCATTTGTCGGTTATTGTTACATTCATTTGTATTTTGACATTTTTAGCATTTTCTAATTTATAAATCCTGAATTATTTTTTTAAATGCCATACTATCAAAAGACATACTATCAAAAAACTGGTGCTACAATAACGAACTTCGGTTTTTAAACAAGTACATTTGCTTGGCCTTACAAAATATCGCAATTCTGAGTCTAACTGTTCATGCATCCAGCTATTTTTGTTTCATCTTTAAACACACGGCGAGTTGCCATTATCATAAATCCCATGTGCAGTTTATCATATTACAAAATATCGCCGCGATATAGCCTTCTTGCGCTGAGGCGGCGTAAATCAACCACCAATAAATCAAGCAATACTACAGAGTAAGCGAAAGGTTTTTTGATGTCGCAAACCGACCAGCGCTTGTATGTCTGTATTCTTATTCCATATTTTAGGTAATAGAAAGGTTATCGTAACTACATTTTCTTTTATCCCGAATTGTGCTAAAAATAGTTCATTTCCGTCATTTTGCCGTAATAGAGAAATTGCTTCTTTTGTCAGGTATTCACTCACCAGGATCTTGTGTTGCAGAACAGTTGAATTGGGTTGGTGTACATGATATTGTGAAGCCTGCATTCGCTTGATAGCATTGTGGGGCATTAAAAGGATCACAGATTCCTAAAACAAACAAACAACAAAGGATTATTACTGTGAACAAACGATAAGAAAATTACAAAATCATTCAATAACTGCAGTTTGATACATACAGGACATTATATAAAAATAAGATGTTGTATTATTACCATCAGCTCGAGCATAGTTATCAATGTTCCTGGCAATACTACCGACTCCTCGGTATAGTCCACTTCATATCTAACTTTTCTGCTATATATCAAGATGCAAGTTCTAGAAATCTATGCAATTAAAGTTTTAGACCGGTTCTGAACAGTTTGATACATTTTGATAATCCACACCGTTGCTTAAATTAGCCTCGTGTAATTTCCATCTATAACTATTTGCAACATTACTCTCGGCATTTATCATTAAATCAGTGAGGAAACAGATTCTATACCTCTTTACCGCGTTGACAATATTTATCCACTCTCGATAGTTAAAAACAACAATTCCCTAAAATGTCTGTATTTCCAGGTTTCCCATAAAGTAAAGTGAAAACTATTTTAAATCAAATCCATATGAAGAAGTTATTTGTCCCACTGTGCTAAAACTGATATTTTGATTCAGATGACGTTTTTTTCAATACTTACCGGGATGAGTGATGTCTATGACTCTCTCCGGTGTCATTCCTTGTCCAGCTACCCAGACACAATTTGGGTCTCCTAATTCATATCCATTCGTCATTCCATCCCCATCTGAATCCATTTGACACAGAGTTGTGTCCCATACCTAAATTGATTAATTCACTTCATAGTTTATTGTTAAAGAGACCCTTTTCAAAAAGCATCTATCTAATTCAGCAGATAATGCAGTGACCTATTAAAAAAGAGTATATGCAGTTTGGTCAATTAATAAACCACACAAATATAAAGAGATTGTTATAAAGAGTTTGCACTAGGGTTATTGTTATGTTGCCTGGCTAAAGAAATCCAATTTGTAGTTTTTGAAGAAAATAAAAAAATTTTGTGTATCTTAAAATTCTATTCTTTGTGTATATGCATATTGATATTATTTGCTGTAAATCATTTTGGTTATATTTCGTTAAAATGTTAAAATCTCAAATATTTAGCGTTGTTTTTATAATTGGTTAATATATCTTAAATAAAACTGTGAATAAACATTTTACAATAAAATTGAGAATGGAAACGGGGAATGTGTCAAAGAGACAACAACCCGACAAAAGAGCAGAAATATAAACATATTTTCTGAGTTTTAGGCCTATCAAAATAAGTGTGACCCGTGTAGTCAATGTGTATATGCTTAACGACCTCTTTGAATTTGTCACATCATGTAAATCGCAATTTATTGATGAATTTGATAAGGTACGTAAGGAAAAGTTGGTGGAATTTTATAGTTAAAGAGTTTTACAGATCAACATCGATAACGAATATGTTCCATGTAATTCTCTCTGGTTTCTTTTTTTATCACTTTTCACCAAACGTTAAATTGTCCGTGATACATGATAAATACCACATGTGCAGCAGGAACGGCTCATTTTCCCGATCTCACGAGTTCATTCCGGTTTTGGATAAGGTTCGTATTACTCGGTCTTTACTTTTCTGTATTGTTTTGTGTACGATTGTTTTTCTTTTTGTATTTTTCTCTAATGTACAAATATTTTACCTTGTTGTTGGCAGCAAAATCTAAACCAAACGGATTTCTTTGACCACCACCTTCTTTTACCAAATGTCCAACCCCTTGCCATTTCACATTCGGCTGACATGGGTGGTCAACATTGTTGCCGTTTGGAATCTTGTTTTGGAACGGCGGATAACATGTTACTGCTGCAATCCACAGGCAAATCACTTCAGTGAGTATCCTATTAAAAAAACATACACACAAAATAATTTTATAGAATCGCAAAAATTTGTAACTGCATAAATTTGACACAAACTTAATTTTCTGACATTATTGTTGACGTTCAATCTTTTATTTTTGCGATATTCCTTAGGCAGGTATTATAAATCTATTTAACCTGCACCAATGTATCAATGTAAATAAAACACCGGCTAAAAAGCAGCTAGTCATCCTTCTTTTCCTAAATGAATGAAGGGGTACATGTTTTTGTTAGTATTAAATCATTTTGTATGGATGTGTCCTGAACTGCAAAATTACTAACACCCAAATGGAATATACACCTTCTCGACAACTTAAACTCAAAGTACTTGCGTACTGTTTACTTGGCTGACGAGTAGATTGATTGTTGTTTGCTTGATGTCCAGTGGCAAAATTTAATAAATATCCAGGAAGAAGCAAATTAACAATGAAATGAAAACAAAGCTGGAAATGATATCAGGCTCAGCAGTGTATTGAACAGTCTATTACTCGCACATATAAAAGGATTATAAACATTCAGTTTTGTAAGAGATAGCATAACTTCCCTCAGGATCATCCTCATAAAAGCTACATAGATAAATATAAAATCGTACATTAAATGAATAAAATAAATTTGATAAATCAATCAATCAATCAATCAATCAATCAATCAAGCAAGCAAGCAATCAATCAATCAACCCGTCTATGGTCAGCTTTACCTGAAGATAAAGTATAGCAAGCATAGCTTGCTTTGAATCGACCTTATTAAAGAATATAGTTGAACATCGTAATCTGTATTTGTGTTAAGTGGAAACTCATCATTTTAAAAAAAAAATGAAAAGTGATACATGTAAAAGAAACGAATTATTTGATGAAATGACAAGAAAATATATGTGTGTAAGAATAAGTAAATAAATAAATAAAAACATACTTAAATAGATAAATAAATAAATAAAAAAAAATGAAAAGATGCAAAAGAATCACTTGAAAACTTACCAATGCATAGTTAATGAAGTTATCTGAACTAGCCAGCAAGAACTCAAAAGCGCAGGTTGTAACCAAACAAAACTGAACACTTGATATACTTCTACTGAGAATCAGTGACGGACCAATCAGAAAGACATGATCCACGTGGTTAGTGACGGACCAATCAGAAAGACATAATCCACTTTCTCACGGTAAACTTTACTATTTCAAACGTCAACGTTATATTTAGTTTTGTAACCTATTTTGATATGACTTATGATTTTAAAAAATAATAATTTGATAAACATGCAGTGATGTGCAACTAAACGGAGAATAAACTAAACAGTTCCTGCTAAAGTGCCAAGGCTTCTATCTAACCAAGTGGTGAAATACTTTTTAAATATCCTTGTCATTACTATTTATTGATGTGATGAAATTGTTTCGTCAATAGATTAATGCAGAAATCAGCTGATTCCGCTGATTACATTTAAAGATGTTTTTAGTTACCGACATATGTTTACATTTTGTTTTTTCCAAATATTCAACACGAACTTTCACACAGGGAGACGATACAGATATCATGCTTTGTGTATATAAAACAGATGTATACTGTTTTATAAAATGAATAAAAGGAGATATGGGATACAGCTAATGGGACAGCAATCAAACGACGCAAAACTTAAATACATCTAGAAGTCAATTACGGTCCTCGACAGTTGAACCCTGTACGGTGACCTATAGTTCATTGTCCTTTAGTCTTTTGTAGATAGTTGATCTCATTGGCAATCATACAATATCTTTTTATCTTTATATAACTAAATTTAGGGATCACCTGAAATTACCTGAGAACTCCATATAATTTATAAAATTGTTAAAATGAAAAATATTATATCTGCAGATTTCTTAAAATACGTTTAGTTTAAATACTTTAAGGCGATCTTAATGGAATGAAAATCATCTGTTTTTCGACACCGATTACAAAATGTATTTCCGTAAAACACTTCTGTAAAAAGTTCTATTATCTTTTTCTCTAATGGTCTAATGAAAAATTCATTATATAACGTTAAAATAGTTTTTGCGGGAAAACGCAGGCAACGTTTTGATCACCCTTGGCTAATAAAAAAATTATGCAAAACGAATATTTGAGTATTTAAGGTAGATTATATAACTGTATTACCGACATCTTGGATTGTAAAATAGCAGTACACAATCGGTCTAGTTCTTTGTTTAAAGCTGCAAATTCTGAGATAATTGGGCAAATTATGTGTAGACTGTTTATCTGTATAAAGGAAAATAGGTGATTTATTACATTATTTAGACTGTTTTAACAAATACTACTTAGCCAAAGAAGGGGAGATAACTCTAATAGCGAAGATTTTCTAAAGGACTGTTAAAGACATTTTCATTTTTTACTTGTAACAAGAAAACAAGTTCGATGACACCATTTTTTTCTTTTTATTTTCTTAAAACATATATAAAATCTACCTTCTAATATTTTATTTCAAAATTCTATCTCAAAGATTACTTTTTATTCACAAAAAAAGTTTGTTTTTTTCTATGAATAATCTTTGCAAAATTGGGCAATTTTGAACGACTTGTAGCTTGAAAAATAGCACAGTGAACCATACTTTTTATCAATTTTAGAAAAAAATTATGGTAAAATTTACATTTTGACAAAGTATAAGAAAATTGTATCTGATAAAATATATACAGATGATCCACCTTAAGTAAGATAACAACCATGCAACACAAAAACAAGAGAGAAACATCTGAATGTCAACATAATGACTTTTACAATAAAATGCATGTACTATATGTCATATACTTAATCTCTCCGGGGTCTATATTATCTAATGGTGAGAGTAAAATAAAAGGAAACTATTCAAGATCTGCCATGTTCTCTAATTTCTTGGGTATTATGTAGTTTTAACAACACATTTTAAATGTGTCATCCCTAAATCTTTTATATACCAAATGAAAGAGGATATTCCAAATGAAAGACATTTTTCACTCAAACAAGTCTCACGGAAAGATTTTACTTTTTATGTCAAACGTCAATATTATATTTAGTTTGAAACCTATTTTGATATACATTTATAGATTTAAATTAATTTAAAAAATAATGATTTTGAAGGCGTTTAGTGGTGTGCAATGAAGAATAAATTTAACATTTCCTGCTAAAGTAGTGCCAAGGATTGTATTTAATCAAGCGGTGAAATAGTTGTTATAATATTTTTTTATAATAATCCTTGTCATTATCATTTATTGATACGATGTAATTGTGCTTATCGTTAGATTGATATAGAAATTGGCTGATATCATTGCTAATATTTATAATTATTCTAGTCGTCGAAATAATTTATGTTCTTTCAGAAATTTAACCACGAACTATCGCACATGGAAATGATAAAAATATTAGTCTTTTTGTATACAAAATATGTGTGCTTTAATTATGTCATGAATAAAAGGAGACGGAGAATTAGACAGCAACACAAAAATGTATCCTACATGTACCTAACCGACGGTCTGCATAATCGCTTCAAGTTTTAAGAAGTTATGAATAAATTTAATTTAAACTCTCATAGACCCCCCTCTACATTAAATTTCCAAAATGAAGGAGAGTATAAAGATATAAAGACAACCACTGACTCGAGAAAGGCATATGAAAATGTGACGGGGTAACTAGTTTTTTTCAAAATAAACCCTTTTCCGTTTAATCTCGACCTCGATATATCATATGTCAATTAACATGAATCTGGCCGTTCGTTTTCAATTTTGAATTCGTTCACATTTTCTTATGTCGGGGACTTTTAAGCTTACTTTACGGTATGATATTATCTCATTATTAAAAGCCGTACAGTTATTTGTATTTGATAAAATCCTCGTCCTTTGATCTCTGGTAGATATATAGAGAAGACTCGTTGGCAAGCATACCACATCTCGTTATTTCACTATTTATACTTTGATATAGCAAAATCTGTCCTAATTGATAAATAATTCACTAACAGTTATCGTTTGTAATAAATATTTCATGTAAAGATCTAGCATTAACTGAAATACTCTTCAACATATTCAAACATCAGAACAAGCATACGATAAATTCTCTATATCCTACGACAAATAGTTCATACCTGTGTATGTCAAGATGAGTGCTTTCATCGTATATATCCATATGAACTTGAAATTAAAAATACTACCGAAATTAGTCATCAGATTTTTTTTATTGATATTCACACAGATGGACAACTTAAAAATAGGGTCTAGGACAAACATGACAGTTTCAGCTTTCCCAACTTTTCTCAGCACTAAAATAACCTCTGCACCATCGTATGAGCGTTTAAACATCTCAATATTACCGACTTTTCACTCCGATGTGTATAATTTTCGATTGGTTACTTACTCTGTGGTAGGACATTCTGGTACTATATTCAGAAATTATTGCGTGCATTTATTATAGCAAATTTTGAAGAAGGGACAGGATTGCGACTTCAGGAAAATTTGCATACATGCAGTTGTATGTATCAGATATCAGAATGCGAGATTTTATTATTGCGATACTCATTCAGTCGCATTATTCGCATTAATAAAAACCGCGCGCAATAATTTCTGAATTTACAGTACTCGGTCAAGTTTACAATCGTTGCAATTGGGGGGAAATTAACAGTTTCATAATTTCTCGTTGTGCGCGTGCATGTTTCCATTTTGTGGATTTATTAACAAAGTATGCTCCTGGCACAAAACTGCTCTAGTTGGGTTCTATGGAGAAAAGAATGAAATTGACATTACGGTCATAATCACGAATTCGTTGTCCGATGATTGTCTCATCTCACAAGCAAATTGTTTTCGCGGTTTTATATTTTCAAATACCAGAATGCATGCGAAGAAGATGACGCCTATCCTGTCCGTAGTTCGCTAGGAACGAGTCGTGTCACGGCTCGAGATTCTGGGCGAGGTTAACAATAAATCATACATAAAGACCGTAAATTTAAATCTAGAAGTCTTTTTCTGTGTTGTTGGGTTGATGTCTCTATCGAACACACACCATCTCATTTTACGAAAACCCTAAACTAATATATTTAATATTAAAAGCAGCAGCACTTCTTAAATTTACGTAATGTGTCAGTTAAAATAATTGCACCTAAATAATTGTTATGTATGTCATTATTCTAACGTATTCAAAGTAACGAATTTATGATTTATATCATAATTGCGAATAGATCGGATAGTAAAGAAATAAAGACTAGGTTGCAGTAAAAAAAATCATTTATATGTTAGAACCTATTTGCCTTTTGACAAAACATATATGTTTTTAATAATGCGAATGTTTATTAAATATCAAGTATAATGATAACGCAAGTATTTAATTCATGCTTTGAGACGGTCCCTGTACGCGTTGTGTGTGTAGTATTTAATACAACCAGAGACATATATACATGTATAGTGTGTTGTTGTGCATTGTGACAATAAACCTGGGAATAGTTTATTGATATATAATGTCCAAGAATAAACTAATTATTTCTGAACGTTTATCATTTGATATTTTGTATTTTAATCATAGCATGGGAAAATGTCGGAAAGCATGTAGAAAATTAAGAAAACGATTATATATATATTTCTGTTATAAATATTTATCTTGGGTCGGAAACACAGTGGTCGGAAAGCAGAAAGATAATTAAACAAAAGGATTTGTCTGTCAAAAATATCTAATTTCATTAAAAGATGCTACAATACCATGAGAATATTCATTATTAAGTTTAAACTGAGACGGAATTTATTCTTAATAGAACATATAATTAAAATTGTCATATATACGTGCATTGTGTCTCACAGGTTTGAACAGTCATTACATTTATGAAAATTATATGCAACGTATGAGCACCAATGAGGAGGGATGCGTACCCAAAGTGAGCTAAATATCTAAATTTTAAACGGTCGTGAATGAAAAAATATTTGCATGGTTTCAATTCACAAGGATTTTAAATCCTTGCATCTCACAAAAAACGTAATTAATATTTTTACAATAATCATAACAAAATTT